TCCTAACTACTCTATGACTGAAGAAATACTTCCTAACATCCCTTTGACTCATCTGAGTCTTCAGCTTCCAATTGTGACCCCTTGTTTCTGTGTCCCATCTCTGGAACATCCTGTCTCTGTCCACCTTGTCTATTCCACGCAGTATTTTGTATGTCGTTATCATGTCTCCCCTGACCCTCCTGTCCTCCAGTGTTGTCAGACCGATTTCCCTTAACCTTTCTTCATAGGACATTCCCCTTAGCTCTGGAACTAGCCTTGTTGCAAACCTTTGCACTTTCTCCAATTTCTTGACTTGTTTGACCAGGTGTGGGTTCCAAACTGGTGCTGCGTACTCCAGTATGGGCCTGACGTACACAGTGTATAAAGTCTTGAATGATTCCTTACTGAGGTACCGGAATGCTATTCTCAGGTTTGCAAAGCGCCCATATGCCGCAGCAGTTATCTGGTTAATGTGTGTGTGTGTGTGTTGTGTGTGTGAGAGAGAGAGAGAGAGAGAGAGAGAGAGAGAGAGGGGGGGGGGCTCAGATTCTTTAAGCATGACAATGAGTGTCACTGATCCAGACAAAAGGTAAAAAAATAAAATAATGTACAAAGCTCGTTTGGAGTGCAGCAAGTGCCATGTGTGTTGCGAGTGTTTAAGTAGTGACATTGTGACATCATCTTGCTCATTCACTAGGGAAGCCACCAAGCACACAATAATAAAGTCTATTGTTGCAAACAACTGCAGTAGTATTTAAAATACTACTTCCAACTTGAGCTGCAAAAAGGCTAACTCTGCCTGGGTTGATTATTATCATTAACTTCATCTAGCAGCACTGGTAAAATCTCACACCACTGAATCTACTGTTACTGTGCCAACAAGTTCACGACATTCTATGTTAAGTTTAGATAGTACTACATATATTGTCTGTTTTCTGGTGTTTATTATTTTCCTGGTATAGCTTACAACCTTGGGTCTGAGCATAAATTAGTTGTGCCTCCCCTAGTCTAGCCACAGAAACACCACTCTTCTTACTCTGACCTAGTTTTCTAAAATAATTATCTGAAATAGAATGAAGTATGATAGAAGTAAATGTATATTTTTACCAAAGTATTTACCCTTAAATATTTGTTCTCAGTAAAATCAGTGTGAAGAACTGTTAATAGTATTGAAACTCACTGTATACTATAAATCACTATATTATTTTTAGCTGGACTTGAGTCCTGGAGGTGGGAAGTACAGTGCCTGCACTTTAAAGGAGGGATTTCAGATATTGGCTGTTTCAAGGGACATGTAAACTGTCGTATCTGAGCGCCTCTGCAAAGACAGTGATTATGTATGAGTAGTGGTGAAAGTGTTGAACAGTGATGGAAGTTTTTTTTTCTTTTTGGGTCACCCTGCCTCAGTGGGAAATGGCTGATGTGTTAGTTTTTTTTTTTTAAGCACTAATCTCATAAGGGTCATACAGTGCTGAAGAGTCACTATAGAGGTATGAAATTATATTTAGAGGAAGTGCTAAACCCAAAAGGATCATAGAGTGGCAGGAAGGGAAAAATAATTGGGCTTAATTTGAGAAAGTTGAACAGCTCCAGTTCCTTGATGCAAGTGCCCTTGATCTGCAACTGTCCCTCACAGGAAAAGATGTTGACAGAGTTTTTAATTACTGTACACTCAAGGGGAAGCATTAAACCAATAGGGTTCATAGAGCTAATGGGGAAATGGAAGGTACTCAGGCTTGATCTAAGGAAGATAATTGTTATATTCATGAAGTACTAAATCTGTAGGTATCATATAGCACCTGGGGAATGGGAAATAGTCAGGTTTGACCCAAGGAAGGGGAGGTCTGGTCCTGTTCCTTAGATCAAGAGTCCCTTACCAGCATTGAGGAACTCCCTTGAGGGGTGGGAAATGAAAAAAAAAACTTAAAAGTACCCACAGTAAAGCCACTACTGGCAAGGAGCCCACAAGTAACAAAACATCTCAGAGGACACCCAGTGCGGTGTGCACTAATGAACCAAAAGTCAGAGAACAAAGCTGTATCTTCTTGTCTTTGCTCACTTACTTCTTCACTTTCCTATTTATTTGTATTTTCCTCTGTCACCATTTCATCTTTATTCAGCTCTTTGCTACCCATGCTTATTTTAATTACATGATCCCTGAATTTATACATTTATATTCCCTCTTTTCTTTCCATAAATGATCATTTAATATTACCATTACTGATTCTTTGTTCACCTCTTTGTAGTTCACTTCTTGATGTTAGCAGCAGCTGTCACCAACTGGCAGTGTATTCTACCAATGTAGACCAGCAATGCTGCTAGACAGCAAAAACATTAGAGGGAGAGAACTACTGGGAGACATCTCAATTAAAAGAAGCAGCCAAACGATATTTTCCGACATCATTGTACAAAAAGCCGGACCCCAGGTTGCTTGAAAATGAGGAATCAGCAAGTAGTGTTTGGCAATAAGTCTTGCCTTGGGATTAGTGGCAGGAGGATTGAGCCTTTACTATTCCTTGTGCTTTATGATCCACATGGATTTAGTGTTTTACATACATTAGAATAAGAATCCACCAGCTTGAAGAGCAGCTGTGAGTCATCGTTTTTGACCCAGCCAGGAAGGGTTCATTATAGAATTGTGGCGCATTTTGGAAAAGGAGACAAACCATCACTTATATGAAAATGAATAATAGAGCCTAAACCTTTATTATGCACTCAATAAAGGATCAGGTTATTTTATGTTTGTTTTCAGTCACTGTGGCTCCTAACTGTATTTGCACAGAAGAGCAATAGTGTGAAATTATGAGGATACTTAGGAGGCATGTATTGGTGCATTCTTAACTACTGTCTCTGGAGATAGCATGAGGATGATACTGTGCCTCAGTATCATGGGAGAAGCCAGGTAAGAAAGGTTATGCATGTGTGCTCTTTGCAGGAACCTGAGAATCATCCCTTCTACTACAAAACACACTGATGCACATTACTATATCCTTGAGGATGTGCTAAACGTGTAGGGGTTATACAGCACCCAGGGAAATAGGTTCAATCCAAGGGAATCACAGGTCAAATTCCTTAGGTCAATATTATTATAATAATCAAGGGGGAGCGCTAAACCCGTAGGATTATGCAGTGCCTGTGGGGGGGACTGTGGAAGGTATTCAGGCTTAATTCAGGGAACCGGAGCACAGATCCAATTCCCTTGATCAAGAGCCTCTCACCAACATCAAGGAACCTTCCTTGAGGGGCCTTAGGTCAATAGCTCCTCGCAAGTATTAACCCTTTGACTGTTTTCGACGTATAAATACGTCTTACGAGCCAATGTTTCTGACGTATATATACTCAATAATTCTAGCGGCTTCAAATCAAGTGGGAGAAAGCTGGTAGGCCCACATGTGAGAGAATGGGTCTGTGTGGTCAGTGTGCACCACATAAAAAAAATCCTGCAGCACACATTGCGTAATGAGAAAAAAAAAACTCTGATCGTTTTTTTGGAATAAAACGCCGACTTTGAGGTGTATTTTCGTATAGTATTTATCGTTGTATTCGCGGTTTCATGGTCTTAGGTGATAAAATGGAAAACATTTTACAGAGATAGAGATGATTTTCATTACTTTTACGATGAAAACGACCTTGAAACTGAGCTCAAAGTAGCGGAAATGTTCGATTTTTACCAATGTTCAAGAGTACATAAATCACACCACACGTCCAATACACGTCAACTGGGGAGTCTAATATTCTTTCACTAGTGCACTGATATTATTTATACCATTTTTACAATAATGCAGTCGTCTGCATAACAGTAAATTTTGTATTTTTTTGTATGAATAAAAAATCAAAATAGAAAGCAATAATAATATAAGAGGGGCCTAGAGATGTGACTAATGAACAGAACATATGATATTTTAGTGCCACGAATGTCTACCTTGTTTATTCTGGACCCTATTTTGAAATTGGCATCTTTTTTATTTTGCGTGAAATTGGCCAAATTGCCAATTTCTGACCACCATATTGGGTAGTCCAAATTAGTAAATGGGAGGTTTCTTGTACTCAGCTGATAGATAAAATGGGAGTTCTAAAGAAATAGCTATGAGTTTGGTCAACTGGAACAATGGAATTGGCTGAAAATTGGGCTCAAAGTCGGCGAAATCGCCGATACGCATATGTCGCCGAGACCGCTAACTTCGCGGGAGCATAATTCCACGAGTTTTCGACCAAATTTCGAACTTTTGGTGTCATTACCATCGGGAAAAGATTCTCTATCATTTCATAAGAAAAAATAATTTTTTTTTTTTCAAAAATTGAGCGACATAGAATGACAGTTTCAGAGAGGGGCCTGAAACAGTCAAAGGGTTAAAGAATCTCCCTTGAGGGGACTCCAATATGCAAAACGTAAAACATGTTTAAAATTAAATCTACCTAAACACACCACAAACATTAAAATTATTATATTCAATTTTCAAGTCATACAGCTCCTGAGATATGGGAGGAAATTAGGTTCATTGCTAAGACTTATTATCTGTTGCTTGGACTTGCCTTTGTTAATCCTACAGTCAAGCTTCATGTTGTGTACCTCCCTGCCCAAGTTCCACTGCTTTTTGTCTTCTTGCTTAAGAAGAAATTATTATAAGGTGTCCCTTGTTTTATGCTATAGATGCATTCCAGGCCTAATGGACCCCTATAGGTTTGGCTACCCCCCCCCCCCCTGCCCCATAAATATAATAATCCAGGCCAATGCATTATTATATTTACAGAAGCACTAAATCCATAAGGGTCATACAGCACTTGGGGAATGGGAAGCAGTCAGGTTTGATCTGTGGAAGGGAAGAACAGGTCCAATTCCTTGGTCTAGACCTCTCACCAGCAATTAAGAACCTTCCGTGAGTGGCATCCTACTGAGGCTGTAGTAAGCTCAGTTAGGTTACCACATTCATTAGAAATCGGTGCTTTAAAAAATGCATCACCAAACTACGGGCTAATGACACCATCTGTTTTAAAAAAATCCTTTAATAAATCTTCCAAATTCTGACTCTCAGGTTTCTGTAGCATAAAAAAATCTACTGTTGGAAAGTTTACAGCTTAAGATTACCATAAGCAAGATATCATTTAGGTAAAACACATCCAGTCTTAACTTTCCCTCATTCTCTACTAGGTAGGTCATGTCTGCAAGTGTCCTCTCCACCATGGATTCCTCACACCTTTCATGTAACTGTCAGAGACAAGATGAGCATGAGAAATTAAATTATCCAGCACAGTACATTTAAATGACACAAGATATGTACAGAAAAAAAATGTTTATTTTAATTTAAATCATACTGTTGTCATTTATGATACTGAGAAAAATCTCATTGATAATGTAGTTAATTCACTTTAAATGAGCCATACTAAATGGCATGCTATAACAAGTTATTATTATTATATTTATGAAGATGCACTAAACTCATCATTATGGAAGGCAGTCACATTCAACACAAGGGAAGAATAGGAACAATTCCCCTGGATCAAGAGCCCTTGATAGCATTAATTCCTCCTTTGACCAAACACTGAAAATATTTATTTTTTATAAAGGATTCCATAATTTAGATACAAATGATGTTCCACAAATTTCTGAGTAGTATCTAGATTTTGCCATTAGTAAGAGACTGTGACCAGAAATTTCACATGCATGAAATGGTGAGACACTCCTATATGACACTGACAAACTTGAAAACAGCACTGATGGATGGATGAGGAAATACAGTGGAACCTCAAAAATCAAACTGCTCCCAACACAACCAATTATGTAAGTGTATTTTTGTAAGTAGTAGGTTGGTAGACAGCAACCACCCAGGGAAGTACTACCGTCCTGCCAGATGACTGAAACAGAAACCTGTAACTGTTTTGCATGATGGTAGGATTGCTGGTTTCTTTTTCTGTCTCATAAACACGCTAGATAACAGGGATATCTTGCTACTCCTACTTACACTTTGGTCACTTTGGTGCACTTAGGAGTCTGTGGAGACAAAGAACTTTGTCCTTGGAGGCAAAGAGGGGAATGTATGAGAGTATAGTTTTACCAACGCTCTTATATGGGTGTGAAGTGTGGGTGATGAATGTTGCAGCGAGGAGAAGGCTGGAGGCAGTGGAGATGTCATGTCTGAGGGCAATGTGTGGTGTGAATATAATGCAGAGAATTCGTAGTTTGGAAGTTAGGAGGAGGTGCGGGATTACCAAACTGTTGTCCAGAGGGCTGAGGAAGGGTTGTTGAGGTGGTTCGGACATGTAGAGAGAATGGAGCGAAACAGATGACTTCAAGAGTGTATCAGTCTGTAGTGGAAGGAAGGCGGGGTAGGGGTCGCCTAGGAAGGGTGGAGGGAGGGGGTAAAGGAGGTTTTGTGTGCGAGGGGCTTGGACTTCCAGCAGGCATGCGTGAGCGTGTTTGATAGGAGTGAATGGAGACAAATGGTTTTTAATACTTGACGTGCTGTTGGAGTGTGAGCAAAGTAACATTTATGAAGGGATTCAGGGAAACCGGCAGGCCGGACTTGAGTCCTGGAGATGGAAGTACAGTGCCTGCACTCTGAAGGAGGGTGTTAATGTTGCAGTTTAAAAACTGTAGTGTAAAGCACCCTTCTGGCAAGACAGTGATGGAGTGAATGATGGTGAAAGTTTTTCTTTTTCGGGCCACCCTGCCTTGGTGGGAATCGGCCGGTGTGATAATAAAAAAAATCTAGGTTTTCCCCTTTTTCTAAATAGCTCTTGTTCTTCTTTATTTCTTCTATTGTCCATGGGGGAAATGGAAAAGAATCTTTCCTCCGTAAGCCATGCGTGTCGTATGAGGCGACTAAAATGCCGGGGGCAATGGGCTAGTAACCCCTTCTCCTGTAGACATTTACTATAAAAGAGAAGAAGAAAAACTTTATAAAACTGGGATGCTTGTATGTGCTTGGATGTAGTGCGGATGACAAGAAACAGATGATTGCTGATGTTTATGAATGAAAAGAAGTTGGATGTCCTGGCCCTAAGCGAAACAAAGCTGAAGGGGGGTAGGGGAGTTTCGGTGGGGGAAATAAATGGGATTAAATCTGGAGTACTGAGAGAGTTAGAGCAAAGGAAGGGTAGCAGTAATGTTGAAGGATCATTTATGGAAGGAGAAAGAGAATATGAATGTGTAAATTCATGAATTATGTGGATTAAAGTAAAGGTTGGATGTGAAAGTGAGTCATATAGCGTGTATGCACCTGGAGAAGAGAGGAATGTAGAGGAGAGAGAGAGATTTTGGGAGATTTTAAGTGAAGGTATAGGAGCCTTTGAACCAAGTGAGAGAGTAATTGTGATAGGGGATCTGAATAGTAAAGTAGGAGAAAACTTTTAGAGAGGGTGTGGTAGGTAAGTTTGGGGTGCCAGGTGTAAATGATAATGGGAGCCCTTTGATTGAACTTTGTATAGAAAGGGGTTTAGTTTATAGGTAATACATATTTTAAGAAAAAGAGGATAAATAAGTATACAAGATATGATGTAGGGCGAAATGACAGTAGTTTGTTGGATTATGTATTTGTAGATAAAAGACTGTTGAGTAGACTTCAGGATGTACATTTTTTATAGAGGGGCCACAGATATATCAGATCACTTTCTAGTTGTAGCTACACTGAGAGTAAAAGGTAGATGGGGTACAAGGAGAATAGAAGCATCAGGGAAGAGAGAGGTGAAGGTTTATAAACTAAAAGCCCATCAAGGAAGGTTCCTTGATGTTGGTGAGGGGCTCTTGATTTAGGGAATTGGATCTGTGCTCCAGTTCCCCGATTAAGCCTGAATGCCTTCCACAACCCCCCCCCCCCCCCAGGCGCTGTATAGATTCTCCGGGTTTAGCGCTTCCCCCTTGATTATAATAATAATAATATAAACTAAAAGAGGAGGTAGTTAGGGTAAGATATAAACAGCTATTGGAGGATAGATGGGCTAATGAGAGCATAGGCAATGGGGTCGAAGAGGTATGGGGTAGGTTTAAAAATGTAGTGTTAGAGTGTTCAGCAGAAGTTTGTGGTTACAGGAAAGTGGGTGCGGGAGGGAAGAGAAGCGATTGGTGGAATGATGTAAAGAGAGCAGTTTAAAGGGGGAAAAAGTTAGCATATGAGAAGTTTTTACAAAGTAGAAGTGATGCAAGGAGGGAAGAGTATATTGGAGAAAAAGAGAGAGGTTAAGAGAGTAGAGTAGTGAAGCAATGTAAAAAGAGAGCAAATGAGAGAGTGGGTGAGATGTTATCAACAAATTTTGTTGAAAATAAGAAAAAGTTTTGGAAGTGAGATTAACAAGTTAAGGAAGCCTAGAGAACAAATGGATTTGTCAGTTAAAAATAGAAGAGGAGTTATTAAATGGAGAGTTAGAGGTATTGGGAAGATGGAGGGAATATTTTGAGGAATTGTTAAATGTTGATGAAGATAGGGAAGCTGTGATTTTTGTGTATAGGGCAAGGAGGAATAACATCTTGTAGGAGTGAGGAAGAGCCAGTTGTGAGTGTGGGGGAAGTTCGTGAGGCAGTAGGTAAAATGAAAGGGGGTAAGGCAGCTGGGATTGATGGGATAAAGATAGAAATGTTTAAAAGCAGGTGAGGATATAGTTTTGGAGTGGTTGGTGCAATTATTTAATAAATGTATGGAAGAGGGTAAGGTACTAGGGATTGGCAGAGAGCATGCATAGTTCCTTTGTATAAAGGCAAAGGGACAAAAGAGAGTGCAAAAATTATAGGGGGATAAGTCTGTTGAGTATACCTGGTAAAGTGTATAGTAGAGTTATTATTGAAAGAATTAAGAGTAAGACGGAGAATAGGATAGCAGATGAACAAGGAGGCTTTTAGCAAAGGTAGGGGGTGTGTGGACCAGGTGTTTTACAGTGAAACAAATTTTAAGTGAACAGTATTTAGATAAGGCTAAAGAGGTCTTGTGGCATTTATGGATTTGGAAAAGGCGTATGACAGGGTGGATAGGGGGGCAAAGGGGCAGATGTTGCAGGTGAAATGGTGAAAGGAGGTAGGTTACTGAAAGCAGTGAAGAGTTTTTACGGGGAAATATGAGGCTCAAGTAAGAGTATGTAGGAAAGAGGGAAATTATTTCCATAAAAAGTAGGCCTTAGACAAGGATGTGTGATGTCACCATGGTTGTTTAATATATTTAATAGATGGGGTTGTTAAGAGAAGTAAATGCGAGGGTCTTGGCAAAAGGTGTGGATTTAAAAAGATAAAGAATCACACATAAATGGGAGTTGTCCCCAGTTGCTCTTTGCTGATGACACTGTGCTCTTGGGAGATTCTGAAAGGAGAAGTTGCAGAGATTGGTGGATGAATTTGGTGGGGTGTGCAAAAAGAAAAATTAAAAGTGAATACGGGAAAGAGTAAGGTTATGAGGATAACAAAAAGATTAGGTGATGAAAGTTTGGATATCAGATTGGAGGAGAGAGTATGGAGGAGGTGAATGTATTCAGATATTTGGGGTGGACGTGTCAGCGGATGGTCTATGAAAGATGAGGTGAATCATAGAATTGATGAGGGGAAAAGGAGTCTGTGGGACAAAGAACTTTGTCCTTGGAGGCAAAGAGGGGAATGTATGAGAGTATAGTTTTACCAACGCTCTTATATGGGTGTGAAGCATGGGTGATGAATGTTGCAGCGAGGAGAAGGCTGGAGGCAGTGGAGATTGTCATGTCTGAGGGCAATGTGTGGTGTGAATATAATGCAGAGAATTCGTAGTTTGGAAGTTAGGAGGAGGTGCGGGATTACCAAAAATGTTGTCCAGAGGGCTGAGGAGGGTTTTTTTGAGGTGGTTCAGACATGTAGAGAGAATGGAGCGAAACAGAGTGACTTCAAGAGTGTAAAACAGTCTGTAGTGGAAGGAAGGCGGGGTAGGGGTCAGCCTAGGAAAGGTTGGAGGGAGGGGTAAAGGAGGTTTTGTGTGCGAGGGGCTTGGACTTCCAGCAGGCATGCGTGAGCGTGTTTGATAGGAGTGAATGGAGACAAATGGTTTTTAATACTTGACGTGCTGTTGGAGTGTGAGCAAAGTAACATTTATGAAGGGTTCAGGAAACCGGCAGGCCGGACTTGAGTCCTGGAGAGGGGAATTACAGTGCTTGCACTCTGAAGGAGGGGTGTTAATGTTGCAGTTTAAAAACTGTAGTGTAAAGCACCCTTCTGGCAAGACAGTGATGGAGTGAATGATGGTGAAAGTTTTTCTTTTTCGGGCCACCCTGCCTTGGTGGGAATCGGCCAGTGTGATAATATAATATAAGAGCACTTACAAAAATATTTATAAGTGTATTTTTAAGGGTCTGAAATGGACTAATCTAATTTACATTATTCCTGATTGGAATAAATTCATTCGGTAAAGGCACTCGAACAGACTTCTGGACCGAAGAAAGTTCGATATTTGAGGTTCCACTGTACTGTAAAAGCTGTACACAGGTTAAACCAAAACTGCAATATGAAGCAGTGGTGTATTGTCTACATCTAAATAAAAATATGCAGACAAGCTAGAGCATACCCAGAGAACTAAAAACAAAAATACTATCAAGAAAGGCTGAAGACAATACATGTTGTCATAAGCTAATAAGACGACCACAAGCAAGATTATTAACCCTTTCAGGGTCCGTCCCGTAGATCTACGGCTTTACGTTCAGGGTCCAAACCGTAGATCTACGCCATGAGCTCAGCTCACTCTGATAAACTGTGAGTGGTACATTTGGGCCTAGATATGAGAGAATACATCTATGTGGTATGTGTGCACCACATAAAACAGATCCTGCAGCACACTGTGTATAATGAGAGAAAAAAAATGAAATCATGATTTTTCGATTAAAACAGCAACTTTGCAGTGTTTTTTCGTATGTTTTTTATAGTTGTATTTGCGATTTCTTGGTCTCATTTGATAGAATGGAAGACATATTACAGAAATAGAGATGATTTTGATTGGTTTTAGCACTGGAAATGGCTTGAAACTGAGCTCAAAGTAGCAGAAATGTTAAATTTTTGCCGATATTCAAGAGTAAACAAACGACCTCACACGTCTAATACACGCCAGTTGGTGGGTCTAATATACATTCACAAATATGGTGATGATATTTATTACAATTATTACAGTATTGCATAACAGTAAATCTTCTATTTTTTGGTGGTGAATAAAAATTCATTATGTGAATAAAAAATCAAAATGGAATTTATTTGTAAAGCCTCAAAACATAACTAATGAACAGAGGAAATGTTAGTTTAGTGCCAGGAATGCCTACATTGTTCATTCTGGACCCTATTTTGAAATTGGAATATTTTGAACTTTGTTTAAATTGGCCAAATTAACAATTTCCGATCACTTTATTTTGTAGTTGAAACAGTTGACTTGGCTATTTCTTGTGCTCAATCGATAGAATAGAAGTAATACTATGAAATAGCTAAGAATTTGGTTGATTGGAATAATGTAATTGGCCTAAAATGGGAGTCAAAGTCGGCAAAATCGCCGATTCGTAAATATCGCTGACACATCAAAATTCGCGAGAGCATAATTTCGTCAATTTTCCACCAAATTTCGTACTTTTTGTTTTATTACCTTCACAAAAAGATTCTCTACGATTTCATAAGAAAAAATAACAAATTTTTTTTTTTTAAATTCTTGGACACTGGTGCGTGACTCCAGATTTGGGCCTTGGACCCTGAAAGGGTTAAAGAACTCGCAAAGAAAACTTCCTGATCCCATCAACAAGCCTAACAAAAACCCAAGGTAGATGTTAATATACTACATTACATCATATGAATACTATAGTCAGAACACCTGACAATATAATGGTCACAGTCACACAAGGGGTGAGAGCATTTCCTCAGCCACTGCCAACCCCAATGGAGGGTGGTCATAGCTCTGATATGCAGATCTCAGTTACAAGAAACAAGGCCATATGTGAGACCCAATTCAGGTTAATGGTGGTTGTAATAGCCATTTGGGCTCCAAGCATCAATAGCCTGGGATATTAAACAATCACCAGAAATATTTTGCTGGGTTGTAAGAATAGAAAATACTATCAAAACTAGCCACAGACAATTCATAGGCTTCTTCTTTTTTGACCTGTATTGATTTCATAAACTAACACTGACCTGCTAGTTTTAGGGCTGGCATGCCCTACATTTGAGCCCCACTTGTTGTGGGTAAGAATAAACAACAAAAATCAAGATGATTAATATTGACATTTCTGAATGTTTTCTTTTAACAGATGATTGACTTACCCCTCTATATTCATAGGAGGAAGGAGGATGCTTGAAGTCTGGTCCAAAATTGACAGATACAGTAATGTTTTTGTATAGAGAGACTCCCGGATAATATGTACCCCCATAGACATTCCGGAAAGCCTCACCACAGCATTTTCCATTTCTGAAAAATTAATAGTTGGTTAAAAAAAATCATTAATGAATATACATTTACACTGTACTTGAATTTTAATTTGTAAAGCAATCCATGGGGAAATGGAACAGAATTCTTCCTCCGTAAGCTATGCGTGTCGTAGGAGGCAACTAAATGCTGAGAGCAATGGGCTAGTAGCCCCTTCTCCTGTATAAACTACTAAAAAGAAAGAAAAGAAAAACTTTATAAAATTGGGATGTTTGAATGTGCATGGATGTAGTGCAGATGATAAGTAAGAAATGACTGTTAATGTTATGAATGAAAAGAGGTTGGATGTCCTAGCCCTAGGCGAAACACAGCTGAAGGGGGTAGGGGAGTTTCATTGGGGAAATTAAATGGGATTAAGTCAAGAGTATCGGAGAGAGTTAGAGCTAAGGAAAGGGTAGCAATAATGTTGAAGGATCAGTTATGGAGAGAGAAGAGGGAATATAAATTCAAGGATTATGTGGATTAAAATAAGGGTCGGATGTGAAAAGTGGGTCATAATAAGTGTGTATGTACCTGGAGAAGAGAGGAGTGCAGAGGAGAGAGAGAGAGATTTTGGGAGATGTTAAGCGAGTGTGTAGGAACTTGTGAACCAAATGAGAGTAACTGTGGTAGGGGACCTAAATGCTGAAGTAGGAGAAGCATTTATAGAGGGTGTGATAGGTAAGTTTGGGGTGCCAGGTGTAAATGATAATGGGGAGCATTTGATTGAACTTTGTATAGAACGGGGTTTGGTTATAGGTAACACAAATTTTAAGAAAAAGGATAAATAAGTATACAAGATATGATATAGGGCATAATGACAGTAGTTTGTTGGACTACGAATTGGTAAAAGACTTGAATAGACTTGAGGATGTACATGTTTATAGAGGGGCCACAGATATGTTAGATCACTTTTTAGTTGTAACTACAGTGAGAGTAAAAGCTAGATAGGATACAAGGAAAATGGAAGCAGCAAGTATGAGAGAGGTGAAGGTTTATAAACTAAAGGAGGAGGCAGTTATGGTAAGATTATAAACAAACTGTTGCAGGACAGATGGACTAGCGTGAGTATAGGCAATGGGGTAGAAGATGTGTGGGGTAAGTTTAAGAATGTAGTGTTAGTGTTCAGCAGAAGTTTGTGGTTACAAGAAAGAGCGATTGGTGGAATGATGATGTAAAGAGAGTAGTAAGAGAGAAAAAGTTAGCATATGAGAGGTTTTTACAAAGTAGAAGTGAGGCAAGGAGGGAGGAGTATATGGAAAGAAAGAGAGGTTAAGAGAGTGGTGAAGCAAGGTAAAAAGAGAGCAATGAGAGTGGGTGAGATGTCAACAAATTTTGTTGAAAATAAGAAAAAAGTTTTGGAGTGAGATTAATGAGTTGAGAAAGCCTAGGGAACAAATGGATTCGTTAGTTAAAAATAGGAGAGAATTATTAACCCTTTCGGGGTTTCAGCTGTACTAATACGGCTTATGCGAAGGGTTTTTGACGTACTAGTACGCATAAATTCTAGCGCCCTCAAATCTAGCAAGAGAAAGCTGGTAGGCCTACATATGAAAGAATGGGTCTATGTGGTCAGTGTGCGCCAGTATAAAAAAAAACTGCAGCACACAGTGCGTAATGAGAAAAAAAACTTTGACCTGTTTTTGGTTTAAAACAGGGACTTTGTATTTTCATATGGTATTTGTGGTTGTATTCTAGTTTTCCTGGTCTTATTTTATAGAATGAAGACATATTACAGAAATTGAGATGATTTTGATTGGTTTCACAATGAAAAGTACCTTGATATTGAGCTCCAAGTAGCAGAAATGTTCGATTTTCACCAAAGTTCAAAAGTAAACAAATCATGCCAAGCGTCCAATACATGTCAACTGGTGAATCTAATATTCTTTCACAAGTGTGTTGGTATTATTTATACCATTTCTACACTAATACAGTAAATCTTCTATTTTTTTGTAAGAATAAAAATTCAAAGTGAAAGCAAAAGAAATGTAAGAGGGGCATAGGGATGTGACTAATGAACAGAGGAAATGTTATTTTAGTGCCAGGAATGTCTTTCTTGTTTATTCTGGACCCTATTTGGAAATTGGCATCTTTTGAAATTTGTGTGAAATTGGCAAAATTCTGACCACTTTATTGGATAGCTGAAATCGGTAAATGGGCGGTTTCTTGTACTCATTCGATAGAAAAAATGGAGTTCTAGCAAAATAATTATGATTTTTGTCAACTAGTACACTGGAATTGGCCGAAAATAGGGCTCAAAGTGGGCAAAATTGCCGATTCGTAAACATCGTCGAGACTGCTAACTTCGTGAGAGCATAATTCCGTAAGTTTTCCATCAAATTTCATACTTTTGGTGTCATTATGATTGGGAAAAGATTATCTTTTCATAAGAAAAAAATAATTTTTTTTTTTTTTTTTTTTTTTTGAAATTTTGGCAACCCTGAGAACAAGTCTCTGAAAGGGCCTGGCGATCCTCAAAGGGTTAAACGGAGAGTTAGAGGTATCGGGAAGATGAAGGGAATATTTTGAGGAATTGTTAAATGTTGAAGATGGGGAAGCTGTGATTTCGTGTATAGGGCAAGGAGAAATAACATGACTCATGAAACCGTAATGACACGATTGCAAACAAACTTTCTGATCGCGGGTTCTATCCCCACCCGTGGTATGGTTTGGAGAAATAACATCTTATAGGAGTGAGGAAGAACCAGTTATAAGTGTGGGGGAGGTGCATGGGGCAGTGGGTAGAATGAAAGGGGGTAAAGCAGCTGGGATTGATGGGATAAAGATGGAAATGTTAAAGCAGGTGGTGATATAGTTTTGGAGTGGTTAGTGCTTTTATTTAATATATGTATGGAAGAGGGTAAGGTACCTAGTGACTGGCAGAGAGCATGCATAGTTTCCTTGTACAAAGGCAAAGGGGACAAAAGAGAGTGTAAAAATTATAGGGGAATAAGTCTGTTAAGTATACCTGGTAAAGTGTATGGTGGAGTTATTATTGAAAGAATTAAGAGTAAGATGGAGAGCAGGATAGCAGATGAACAAGGAGGCTTTAGGAATGGTAGGGGGTGTGTAGACCAAGTGTTTGCAGTGAAACATATAGGTGAACAGTATTTAGATAAGGGTAAAGAGATTTTTGTTGCATTTATGGATTTGGAAAAGGCATATGATAGGGTGGGTAGGGGGGCAATGTGGCAGATGTTGCAAATGTATGAAGTCTTTACGAGGATAGTGAGGCTCAGGTTAGAGTATGCAGGAGAGAGGGAGATTATTTCCCAGTAAAAGTAAGCTTTAGACAGGGATGTGTGATGTCACCATGGTTGTTCAATATATTTATAGATGGAGTTGTAAGAGAAGTGAATGCTCGGGTGTTGGCAAGAGGAAGGGGTTAAAAGATGAAGAATCTAATAGAAAGTGGGAGTTGTCACAGTTGCTCTTTGCTGATGACACTGTGCTTTTGGGAGATTCTGAAGAGAAGCTGCAGAGGTTGGTTGATGAGTTTGGTAGGGTGTGTAAAAGAAGGAAATTAAAAGTGAATGTAGGAAAGAGTGAGGTGATGAGGATAACCAAAAAATTAGGTAATGGAAGATTGGATATCAGATTGGAGGGACAGAGTATGGAGGAGGTGAATGTATTCAGATATTTGGGAGTGGAAGTGTCAGCAGATGGGTCTATGAAAGATGAGGTGAATCATAGAATCGGTGAGAGGAAAAAGGTGAGTGGTGCACTGAGGAGTCTGTGGAGACAAAGAACTTTGTTCATGAAAGCAAAGAGGGAAATGTATGAGAGTATAGTTATACCAACGCTCTTGTATGGGTGTGAGGCATGGGTGGTGAAAGTTGCAACAGGGAGAAGGTTGGAGGTAGTGGAGATGTCGTGTCTGAGGGCATTGCCCTCAGGTGCGGGATTACCAAAACTATTATCCAGAGGGCTGAGATGGTTTGGACATGTAGAGAGGATGGAACAAAATAGAATGACTTTGAGAGTGTATAAATCTGTAATGGAGGGAAGGCGGGGTAGGTGCCTGCCTAGGAAAGGTTGGAAGGAGGGGATAAAGGAGGTTTTGTGTGCGAGGGGCTTGGACTTCCAGCAGCGTGCGTGAGCATGTTAGATAGGAACAAATGGAGATAAATGGTTTTTTGGACTTGACATGCTGTTGGAGTGTAAGCAAGATAACATTTATGAAAGATTCAGGGAAACCGGCAGGCCAGACTTGATTCCTGGAGATAGGAAGTACAGTGCCTGCACTTTGAAGGAGGGGTGTTAGTGTTGCAGTTTTACAACTGTAGTGTAAGCATGCCTCTGGCAAGACAGTGGTAGAGTGAATGATGATGAAGTTTTTCTTTTTTTGGGCCACCCTGCCTTGATGGGAAATGGCCAGTGTGTTAATAAAAAAAGAAATAAAGCAATCGATCTAATATTATTACTATAATTTTCAACACACTTTCCATCTCCACCAAGGTTAGGTGACCCAAACAAAGGAATATATTTGCTATTATTTATTCAAAGGTGTCTTGCTAGATGAGGGGTAACTATTGATCTATTGATCTGTAGGGGTCATACACGTGCTGTATGACCCCTACAGGCTTAGCACTTTCCCCATTCTGTGCCAGAAATGCACAGACGTCACAATTAAAATGACTTTCCTAAGTGCAGTATTCCTACCATTCCTGGTTCCTTTAGAGTTAGGGCACTATACTTCCCACCTCCAGGAACTGAGTCAAGCTAACTGGTTTCTTTGAATGCCTTCATGTTACCTTGCTAACCCCAAAAGCACATAAGACCATATAAACTTTTGTCTCCTCAGTCTGATATAACATGCTCATACAAGCCTCACATAATCCTTACTCAGCCCTTTGAATTATACCTTTGGTTGCCTTGCATTATTTTTTTTTTATAACATTTATCTTCGAACTTCTTATTCTTATTCTTTTTTAGGGGCTTGGACTTCCAGCAAGTGTGCGTGAGCGTGTTAGATAGGAGTGAATGGAGATGAATGGTACTTGGGACCTGACGATCTGTTGGAGTGTGAGCAGGGTAATATTTAGTGAAGGGATTCAGGGAAACTGGTTATTTTCATATAGTCGGACTTGAGTCCTGGAAATGGGAAGTACAGTGCCTGCACTTTAAAGGAGGGGTTTGGGATATTGGCAGTTTGGAGGGATATGTTGTGTATCTTTATATGTGTATGCTTCTAAACTGTTGTATTCTGAGCACCTCTGCAAAAACAGTGATAATGTGTGAGTGTGGTGAAAGTGTTGAATGATGATGAAAGTATTTTCTTTTTGGGGATTTTCTTTCTTTTTTGGGTCACCCTGCCTCGGTGGGAGACGGCCGACTTGTTGAAAAAAAAAAAAATCTTCGAACTTTCTCATCACCATTCCATTCACCTACCATTATTAATTTTAAATACTTCCTTAATCAACCCAAGGTTCTTCATTTTTTTCTTAAGAATTTTTCATGTCTATACATGAATGGTCACTTACTTCAATATTTAATGTGCTTTTATGCTTATTTTGATTGTAAATGCCAAAGTAGTTGCTGATACATGTAATTTACTCTACTCTGTTATATTGTATTGAATATTTTGCAGGGCTGACTTAAGGAAGATAACACATTAACTCTTTCACTGTCTCCCACATAGATTTATGTCATTGACTACAGTGTTTCATGTAGATCTACACTTTAAGCACAGCTCCCTCAAATATGACTCACAAAATCATAGTGACATGATTGCAAACAAACCATACCATGGGTGGGGCTTGAACCCTCAGTCAGAAAGTTACGTCGGTCTGAAGTTTTATGACTGACCGTGGGTTCAAGCCCCATCAGTGGTATAGTTTCCCTGAAATGTGCTGTGAATGGTAAATTTTGGCCTAGACATGAAAAAATGGATCTGTGTGATGAGTGTGCACAGCATAAAATAATATAATCAGACTAAACACTAACCTAGGCATAGTATTAAAAAAAATTCTGGCCCATGCAGTGTTTGGTTTAAAATAGTGAATTTGATGTTTTCCTGGGTGATTTTTATGGTTTTATTGTCTGTTTCTTGGTATCATTTGACAGAATGGAAGACATACTAGTGAAACTGAGATGATTTTGGCCAGTTTCAGACTAGAATTGGAATAGCTTGAAGTAGGGCTCAAAGTGGCAGAAATATTCGGCATTTTTCCTGAGGAAAGGTAGGGCTTGACCCCTAGCCCACCCAGTCTGTTTTATGGGTTTTTACTAGGCCTGTTTCAGTTATTGGGATGGCTTAAACCATTACCATTGATTTTTGACTATTTTATTATCCCAGAAATAATGTAAAACTTCAATTTTTTTGTGTGATGATGGATTTCAAATGAAGGACAAGTGTTATATAGGAGAGGCCTGGGGACATGATTAATGAACAGAGGAAAGGATGCGTCAGTGACTGTATGCCTACAGTGTTCATTTGTACTCTTGTTTTTAAATTAAAATTCTCATGCTTAAATGGGTAGTTTCTTGTTCTCGATTAATGGAATGGAAGGCATGCTAGCAAAACAGCTTCCCCACTGAAATAGGCTTAAACTAAGACTCAAAGTGAGTGAAATCACCAAACCTCCTGGATTGCCAGCTATGCACTTGTGTAATTCCATATGTTATCCATCAAATTTCACATTTTTTGGTGTCCATACCTTTAGAAAGATTCTCTACCATTTCAGAAAATGTTTTTTTTTTTAATCATGACATTGTCAGTATTTTTAAATTTCAGGGAGTGTGACAGTGAAAGGGTTAACTATCATTAACTTCCTAGCGGTCTTTCCATTGGCAATCACCAAAACACACCACCACCTTACTTTCGAAATGCAAACACTATAATTTTTATTTCTAGAATTTGCATCCACTTAACTGGTTTCCCCTGAATTTTTTTTTCCCTTTCAATACATTGTCTATATACCACCAAGGCAGAGTGACCTTAAAAAAAAAAACTCATGTTTTCTTTTTTAAATTTAGTAATTTATACAAAAGGGGTTACTAGCCCCTTGCTTCTGGCATTTTAGTAGCCTCTTATGACATGCATGGCTTATGGAGGAAGATTTTTTTTTCCACTTTCCCATGGAATTTGCTCTGAATCTCTTCTTAAAATACTTTCATATTGACACTGCACCAGTGCAACTCCCAAAAACATTTCTTCTCACTCCAGTCAAACACAGATGCCTGCTCCTACCTGAGAAATACTCTACCTCCTTACACCATTCTTTAAGAATTAAAGTTTTCCATGTCTTATTCTTATAATTTTTATTTAATCTAAATAATGAATAATAATTACTTGAAAAATATCATTTTACTCCCTGGGAGAGGTTTCAAATTCTTCAGGGCTTCTGGTACATCATCCTTATCTTCATAATACAGATGGGATCGGAATTTGACTAGTGGCTGAAAGACAAAAAAATTTTAATTAGATATATAATGGTTTGTACATGTAGAGTGGATGGAATGAAATAGAATGACTTCAGGAGTGTATAAATATGTAGTGGAGGGAAGGCAGGGTAGAGGTCAGCCTAGGAAAGGTTAGAGGAAAGGGTAAAGGAAGTTTTGTGTGCAAGGAGCTTGGACTTCCAGCAAGCCTGCATGAGCATGTTAGATAGAAGCAAATGGAGACAAATGGTTTTTAGGACTTGACATGCTGTTGGAGTGTAAGCAAGGTAACACTTACGAAGAGATTCAGGGAAACCGGCAGGGTGGACTTGATTCCTGGAAATGGGAAGTACAGTGCCAGCGCTCTGAAGGAGGGGTGTTAATGTTGCAATTTTATAACTGTGTGTAAGCATGCCTCTGGCAAGACAGTGATGAGTGAATGATGCAGCAAAACTCGTGAGAGCATAATTTCGTCAATTTTCCATCAAATTTCATAATTTTTGTTTTATTACCTTCAGAAAAAGATTCTCTACCATTTCATAGGAAAAAACAAAAAATTTTTTTGAAAATTCCTGGACCCTGGCTGTCACTCTGAGATTTGGCCTCTGGACCCTCAAAGGTGGTGTAGCTTTCATCTGCTACTGGCTAAATGGGAACCTAAATACTACTCTTAGATATACAAGGTCTAAGCGTATATTATAGTTATATTGGGGTGCCATAAACTTGATTTATATGCTTCCAATGACCACTAAATGTATTCAGGATGCATCGTAAAAGCTTCAATAATCCACCAAACCAGTTTGAGATTTGCCAGGCAAGTAACTATTCAAGATTGTCATGGCATCGATGGTGTTATCAAAATGGGAACAAAAGCATCTGGCATACAAACAGAAGTGGGTTGAAGTTTCATGTTGGTAGTACAGTACATAATCTTATTTTCATTGATAATGTGGTCCCAAGTAGAAGCTTTCTTAAGCATTTCAACCACTCTGAATTAAAGAAGACTTTTGAAGAAATACTTTAATTAATATTTCTTAAATTCTACATGCTCATTTGGCTATCACACAAGTATGCAAAAAAATTTAATTCTTCCTAAGAAGATGCATACCAGTGGGATAATAAAACATGGAAATGACATTAAAAAATGAAGTGTGAAAAACAGAATTCATTGGCAAGAACAATGGATACCTTTGATGTACCTTTGAAGAGTTTCGAGAGTTTATCTACTCTCTGAGCCCGGCCATGGGCCAGGCTCGTCTGGTGCTTGCCTGGTCAACCAGGCTGTTGCTGCTAGAGGCCCGCTGCCTCGCATATCCATAACAGCCTGGTTGATCTGGTACCTGGTGAAGATACTTGTCTAGTTTCCTCTTGAAGGCTTCTACACTTGTTCCAGCAGTGTTTCTGATATCTTCTGGTAAGATGTTGATACAGTGTTCCCTTATTGTCCCCACTGCACCCTTGCTCCTCACTGGGTTTATTTTAAACACTTCCTCCCATCTCTCTCACTCCAGTATGTTACTACAGGGGTGCAGATTTGGGACCAACCCCTCGGTAACCTTCCAGGTGTATATTTATCATGTACCTCTCTCTTCCCTCCGCTCCAATGAGTACATTTCAAGACTTGCAGGCGTTCCCAGTAGTTTAGGTGCTTTACTGGCTCAATGTGAGCCGTAAACGATCTCTGTATTTTTTCCAGCCCGTATTTCTCCTGCTTGAACAGGGCCGTCAGCAACTGAGCCAAATTTTTCTAAGTGAGGGGGCAAATAGTGAATTGAAGAGTGTCGCCATCGGCATTATTTCCCTTGTTTTGAAAGTTCTCAATACCCACCCAGTCATTTTCCTGGCTGTCGTGATCTTTGTCTTGTTATGGTCTTTTAAAAGAAAGGTCGGGCTGACATAATTATTCCTAGGTCTTTTACGTGTTCCTTACGTTTCTATTTGGTGACCCTCTTGAGTTTTGTATATAGTGCTCCTTTTGAGTTCTTCATTCTTTTTTAATACCTAAGCAGCTGGAACTTATCACCACTGTATGTCATGTTGTTTTCCACTGCCCACTGGAAAACCCTGTTTATGTCTTCCTGTACTTTTTCAGTGTCTCTACTGTACTGACTTTCATGCTTATTTTAATGTCATCTGCAAATGATGATACAAAAGTGTGCCGAGTGTTTTTGTCTATGTCTGCTATGAGGATGAGGAACAGCAGGGTGCCAGGACATGCCTTGGGGCGTGAGCTTTTTTACCTCGCTGATGCTGGATCTTGGGCCCTGTTCACTACTACTTTTTGTGTTGTGTGTTAGGAAACCGAAAATCCATCTGCCTACCTTTCCCATGGCCTTCATTTTGTGCACTATCACTCCATGATCGCATTTGTTAAACACCTTTGCAAAATCTGTGTAAATTTACAAACTGCGTTTTGGTCGTCTTCCAGTGCCTCCGTAATTCTGTCATAATGGTTCAGCAGCTGTGACAGACATGATCGTCCTGCTCTAAAACCATGCTGGTTCGTGTTATGTTGGTCGTGCTGTTCCATGAAATTTGTAACCTGCCGTCTCATCACTCTTTCGAAGATTTTTATGATGTGAGAGGTTAGGGCTACTGGTCTGTAATTTTTAGCTAGTGCTCTACTACCTCCCTTGTGCAAAGGAGCTATGTCTGCACTTTTTAAGGCCTCTGGTATTTCACCTAGATCTAAGCTCTTTCTCCAAAGAATACTGAGGGCTCGTGCTAGTGGTACTTTGCAGTTCTTTATAAATTGAGCATTCCATGAATCTGGTCCAGGTGCTGAGTGAGTGGGCATGTTTTCCGTTTCTTTTTCAAAATCTATGGGATTTGTACTAATGTCAGTTTGTTGGTCTGTGTGGCCTTCTTCTGGAGTGAAAAATATTTCTGCATTTTCTACCTTGCTGTCAGTGGGCTGCTGAACACCAACTCATACTGTTCTTTTAGGATTTCACTCATTTCCTGTTTGTCGTCAGTATACGAGTTTCCTCTCAGTAGTGGTCCAATTCTACAGGTAGTTCTTAGCTTGGATTTTGTGTAGGAATAGAAATATTTTGGGTTCCTTGCAATATCCTGTATGGACCTTTGTTCCCTTTGTACTTCTAATGTGAGATATGACATCCTAAGTTTTTGCTCTAATTCAGTGATCTCTCTGCTAAGTCTATCTTTCCTCTGTTGTAGCATATTTGTGTTTTTAAGCAGTTCAGTAACCCGTTCTTCTTCTTCTGTAACATTTCCTATGCTCTCTCTCTATATCTGATCTTCTTCTGGGTTTCTTCAATGGTACATGTTTCATTATGATTGAGATGGAGAAATGAAAGTTTTTCTTTTTCGGGCCACCCTGCCTTGGTGGGAATCGGCCAGTGTGATAATAAAAAAAAATAAATGAAGCAAACTTCTAGTTAATCCCCAACACTTATTGCGTTAAAAAGCAAAAAGGTATAGGAAACCATTACCTTTGTATCCTTTTGAAGAATTTCAAGAGTTATCTACTTCTGACCCCGGCCATGGGCCGGGCTGTCACATGGTCGCCTGGTAAACCAGCTGTTGTGCGGGGGCCCCGCTGCCCCAATATCCATCAAAACCGGTTTGGTTGGACTGAAGATCTTGTCTTTTTCCCTCTTAAAAGGCTTCAACACTTGTTCCAGCAGTGTTTGATATTTCGGGTAGTTTTGAAAATCGGGGAAACCCGGGGTTGATACAGTTTCCCCCTTATTGTCCCCACCGCACCCCTGCTGTAACTGGGTTTATTTGCACTTCCTCCTTATCTCTCACTTCGTATATTGTTTAGCAGTGATAGATTTGGGCCCAAACCCTCGAGTATTTCCAGGTATATATTATCATGTACCTTCTTCCTCCGCTCCAATGAGTACATGTTAGTTATTTTAAATTTTGTTATTATGCCCCCCATCCCATCCTGTAGGCGGTAGTCAAAAGATTACAGAGGTACAAAATTGGTCCAGGGACTGGACCCCAAAGTTTTGAAAGCTGAGAAAGGGTTACAAGGAAATGACTCACAATTTACAAAGGTAATGAACTCCGGGTAGGTCTGGTCAAAATCATGACAAGTTAAAAAGGTATTTACAGATTACAGAGGTTGTAATGGGTCCAGGGATGGGCCCCCAAATTTTTGGGATAGCTGAACTAGGTAAAAAGGTAATGAGTCAAAAGTTCAAAAGGTAATGAATTTGTAAGAAGGGTTTTATTACATTTTACTGGCTAAAAATTTAAACAAATTATAGTGAAATGGAAATTCACATTTCCACACCCGGTCAAAAACTGTAATGAGTTTTTGGGTTGAAATGTTGATTGTTGAGTCACACAAAAACACCACACCCCACACACAACACACACACACAAGACACAGCACGAACCACACACACACAAAACCCCACACACACACATAAAAAATGACACACACACACCACACACGCACACACACTGCAACCCACCGAACACACACACGAACCACACACGCCACACACCCACACCACAACCACACACACACACACACACACACACACACACACACACACACACACACAACACCCCATGCACACACCCATGCACAACCCTGAACACCCCATGCACACAACAACACAAAACACAGGGTAATGCAATATTTCAGCTAGCAAAGTCAGGGTATTTCTCCAGAATGGTCGCAATATCCATGTGGAAAAATACTTAGCCTTTTTGAACTTTTCTGAGTAGTTGTTTCTAAATTCATTAATTTTGATCACACTCAAATACTAATGATGAAGGTGGCCAATTGTCCATCTGGCAAAATTTACATTTTTTTTTGGTCTACATTTGGGGGTGGTGATTTAACCTGCCCTAGATACTTGTAAACCCCCGCCGAGCCGGGCAGTAGTGACATCCAAGAGTCTGTTATCTTGTTTGGTGCCCATAGACAGTGGCTCCTCCTGCATGATGGAATGATGATAGATGGGACTTGTTTTAAAACTCCCAAAAATCTTAAGTCAAAAAAAGTTCATTTGAAGTTTTTTCGATTATTGTTCTAAAAAAGCTAAATGAAACCCAAGATTGTAATATACCCTCTCTTTGAAAGCAACGCTTACCAATTTATCGTTCTATCATGCATTGAAGACCCAAGGAGATGGAATCCAGAGCATGGCACCCGACTCCACTGTCCACAACTTTCCATACCTAGTTGGCTTTGCACAAGCATGCCCCAAATTTTACTTAATGGTTGAGGGATTTATGGATGCAGAGAAACGTTACAATTAAAAGTGTAACCTTAGATACATGGACAATTTTAGTGCAAAAGGGTTGGCAAACAGTTCGTTTGAAGGGTAGGGCCAGTTATTGATGCATGCTCCCAATTTTTTATGGAGCCATCACTTGTGTGACAACGCAGCACTCAGCTGCACAGTGGACTGGTGAAAAAGAACCATCAAAGTAAATAATTTGTGAAGAGTGTTGTGTGGACTAAATTATCAATACGCTTAAGGCATTGTTTGGCTTCGACGAAACTTTGGTTGTGTTTTTGAAGAGTTTTGGGGGGGAAAAGGAGGAAAGGTAGTTGGAATGGGGTAAAATCCCTGGGAAAGGGAAGTCTCTGTTGTCTAACTTGATATGACATGAGTGGTTCATGCGGAGGGCGGTTCCCGTTTTTTTTGATCCATCTGGAAGGGTGTTCAACAGGCTGAGGAAAGTTTGGGGGACTTCTGTGCAGGGGGGTTTAATGGGTAGCCCAACATATTGACCCCAAAAAAGGATATTTCTTTCAGTAACACGATCTTAAAGTTGGAATATTAAGTTCCTTTCCGCATATTTAAAATTTTGCGTACGAGATCCCAGGATGATCCTCATTGTTCGTTTTGCCCGTTTTTCCGCCCTCCCAAGCTTCCCGTCAGACACGGGGTGAAAAATAGTGGCGCCGCATAATAACCATTTTTAATATAAGCAATATCATTTTTCCAAATTTTTAAAATTACCCCCAACCTGGGATGTAAACCTGCCACAAAATTTAAGTGTGTCAGCCTTTCTTTTTATTTGGGGACAAAAATCTCGTTAAACAGGTAAAAATAGTGGAAACCCCAAAGCAGATACCTGATTGCTTAAATATTCTGAAGAGGGGCCCATCATGCAAATGGATTTTGAAATGTGCCTCTTGCCGAGGAGGACGCCTGTTGAGTATCTTTTTTTTAAACCCCCGGATTTTTAAACCCCCGGTCCTGCCGAGGCTAGTACATGATTAAGAATGTTTTGGGGGTTTGGGAATCCCGGTGGTGTAAATCATTATGTCATCAGCAAAACAACCATATAATGATGGGGTGGAGGCATGGCATTAAGTAAGGCATTAATCAAAATGTTGGGAAACAGGGTGGGACTAAGCACACATCCCTGTGGGGTTCTAATCAAAATCTTTAGTTTAACACTTCTATGTCCCTGGAACAAACACAGACGACTTTCTGTTGGACAGGTAACCTTTAATCCAGCGGAGAAGGAGAAAAGCCATCCTCCAACATCCATTCTGGCAAGTTCACTAATGATTACATGTCTGTTGGCTACATCAAAAGTGGATTTAAGGTCAGGAACGTAGTGTATGAGCTGTCAGTGGCAGAGTGAGGAAAGGTGGTAATGCATTGATGCACACTCCTTCCATTGCATGAAGCCTTGCAACCGGGGTGACAAGAATTCCTTAATTTCTGTGCATTAAGACGGATTAAGAATCAGCCTTTCGAATGTTTTACATCAAGCAGCTAGGTAAGGGATATTGGGCGAATGAAGTTTTGGTTGATTGGGCTTCGGTAATGGGAATAATGCAGGCTATTGGTACATGATTTAGGGAGCTCCCCAGTGACATAACTCATTTTATAATAATTTAAAGTAAAGGATTACCTGGTTACTCGACCAGCAATCTGAGTATGTTGTAAGTAATACCATCCTCACCAGGCGACGTGGAGTTGCCCTTTGTTCGTGCCTGCATCAAGTTCATAAGTAGTGAAAGGAATGTTGCAGTCATCTGCCTTGCTGAGCAAAAAGCAAACAAGTCTCTCTCTTGCAATATTTGTTCCTATTAATTTCGCCTGTGTGGTAATGGGGAGGACTGTCATAGCAGATGTTGCAGCCCAAGCCACTGACTAAACTCATTCGCCCTATGCAAGGGATGAGGGTGCACGATCTGCCCTGTTCGGTTACCTTTAATTCTATTTATGTCCCTCATGCCCGGCTAAGTGGGGTGTGAGAATGAGACCATTGGACAAATTGTTACCAGTCTGTTTGCCGCAAGCTCTGTCATTACGCTCTCTGGCTGCGCAAGGGCAGTTTGGAAGAGGCTCAGCATTTCAGGGGTACGATGTTTCTATAGGCTAGGCCTAGTCTGCGAGCAGTCGTTTTCAATGTTTGTAGTTTAGATCATTGTAATAGGTATGGCTTTTATAGGACTTCATGATTATTATGGAAGTCATTTGGATTTTAGAGTTGTAGGAGTTTCAGAGGCGGCTTCTTAAGAAGTTCTGGAATACTGACTCACAAGGTCATTGTTAAAAGTCTTGACAGAGGTACATGTTCAGATTGTAGGTGTTCCCAGAGTTTTTAGGTGCTTTACAGCTCAATAGGACCCTATTAAACATCTCGGTATTTGTTCCAGCTCCGATATTTCTCTCCCTGAACGGCGGCCGTCAGCACTGAGCAATATTATAAGTGAGGGAAAATACACTACGATTTGAAGAAAGAGTGTCACCATCAGTCATTGATGAAATTCCCTGTTCACTACAGTAATACCTAAGTAGCCAACAGATCCACTATCCTGATATATGATACGTATTTTGCTTTTTTTATAGGGTAAAGTATTTCCAGCAGACTGTATCTTGAAAGTAACATTACTGCAAAAAAAAGTAAATTTAAAAAGCAATATACTGAAGTGGAAATACATCGTGCTACTTACCAAGCCTGTGTCCTGGGTATCAGAGAATGATAACATAATGATCAACTTGAAACTTGTGATATTTTAAGTAAACAAGTATTTCATTACTCTTCAACCACACTTAAAATTTTTTTTACCTTATCCTTGTATGTTGGTGGGAATTGTGAGACAGGGTTCTTCTCTGGAAGGTCAATCATAATGCCCAGCACATCTCCCTCACCAAAACTTCCATCATAGTAATGTTTCCCTCGTGATTCATGAAACACTGTCCCCTTCCTGAAATACATACTAAGGTGAGGAATAGAAAATATCATTCAGTGATCTATAAAATATGATGCAAGCTAATACAAGATGTATCTTTAAAATATTTACTGCATTAATTACGATAAAAGGAAATGATTAACTTAAGTATGCATTTCTGTTCTTACTGTAAGTACAGCAACACCCAGAGCAAAGTAATCACACTTACATACGTACTCTTCCCCTTCCTTTTGTTTCTAAGTTGTTTATTCTCTTATTCTAATCCACTTACTATATATCCATGAGGAGGGGTTATTGAGATGGTTTGGACATGTAGAGAGGATGGAATGAAATAGAATGACTTTGAGAGTCTATAAATCTGTAGTGGAGGGAAAGCAGGTTAGGGGTCAGCCTAAGAAAGGTTGGAGGGAGGGGGTAAAGGTGGTTATGTGTGCGAGGGGCTTGGACTTCCAGCAAGCATGTGTAAGCGTGTTAGATAGGAGCAAAGAGAGAGAAATGGCTTTTAGGACTTGACGTGCTGTTGGAGTGTAAGCATGGTAACATTTATGAAGGGATTCAGGGAAACTGGCAGGCTGGACTTGATTCCTGAAGATGGGAAGTACAGTGCTGGCACTCTGAAGGAGGGGTGTTAATGTTGCAGTTTTATAACTGTCTTGCCTCTGGCAAGACAGTGATGGAGTGAACGATGATTAAAGTTTTTCTTTTTCAGGCCACCCTGCCTTCGTGGGAAATGGCCGACGTGTTAATAAAAATAAAAAATAAAATATTAGCTTTTCTGTGCAAAGGCCAGAGATGAGAATTATGTAAGTAAAATGATTTACTGAAGATTCACTAATTATATCATGGCATTTTCCTTTTAGTTTAAAAGCTAAACATCCATAAGGAATAATACTAAACACTGTTCAAGAATGTTTAAACATTTGTTATTGTTTAAATATACAGTATGTAAATATATATATTTAGTCAAACTCAACATAAATAGTAAAAAAATAACTTGTCACCATACATGAAACATTCAAAATTAAATTATACATACAAATAAAGATATTAACTTCATCAAGAACTTAAATCTGCAATATATAGGGAAGAAGATAAAAAAGCAATTAATGTAATAATAATGATACATGAACAATTATTGGTATCTTTCACTGTTTTCTTGATGATTAAAAGCTACTTTTAATTTTGTTAAAAATTTCCTTTGACCATCATGGATATATGTACGTATGTATATTTATCTCAGACAATGAAAGATTCAATATCATACTGGAGGGTTAGGTTAGGTAAGGTTCATCAGGAAACAGGATAAGTGTTTCCTGATGCGGGTCTTGGTCAGATGAAGACCCGCCTTTGGAGCTTTTGGTCATCTGACCAAGGCCTTCCGCTGGCTTACGGTCCACCCCTTTAAAAATTATGGTCATTTATAACCATTGTTTTAGTGTATATATATACTGGAGAAAGTACAGTGGAACCTCAGTATACAACAAGCTCTTTACTCGAAAAGAGCTCAGCACTCGACCAAACAAATATGACCTGCCAGAACTTCGCTGTAAACCATTTCGTGTTTCTTCGCATTTTTTGGTGTTTTTTGTAGTATTTGTATAAATAAGTCACCATGGGGCCTACAATGATTAGTGATAACAGCCACCCAAACAAGAAATTGGTTGGGAAGAACTTGTTCGATACTCAAACGGAGCCTTCTGGAATGAATTAAGGTCGCATACTGAGGTTCCACTGTACGTATATGTATTCAGATATTTGTGAGCATACTTACTGGCAGATGGGTCTAAGGATGATGAGGTGAACTGCAGAACTGACAAAGGGGGGAAAAAAAGGGCTAGTGGTGAACTGAGGCATTTATAGGGATAAACAGCTTTATCCATGGAAGCAAAACAGGAAATGTACCAGAATGTAGTGGTGCCAACACTGTTATATGGGTGTGAGGCATGGATTGTAAATGCTACAGTGGATGGAGGCAGTTGAGATGTCATGTTTAAGGGCAATGTGTGATGTAAATATCATGCAGGGAATTCAAAGCTTGGTGATTAGGCATGGCATTATCAAAAGTATTATTTGGAGAGTTGATGGGGTGTCTGGATATTTAGAGAGGATGAGGCAAAATAGTATGACAAAAATTGTTTATAAATCTAGGTTGGCAGAAAGGATGGGTAGGGGTCATCCCAGGAAAGGTTGGAGAGAGGGAAGGGGAAGGAGGGTAAAAGTTTTGAACACTTGGTGCCTGGACATCCAACAACCATATGTGAATGCTGTAGACAGGAGTGGAGGCAAGTGGTTTTTACAACTTCACGTGCTGGAGTATGAGCAAAGCTGCACTTATGAAGGCATCCAGGGTAACTTGGTTAGCTTGAGTAAAGTCCTGGATGTGGGAAATACAGAGCCTGCGCTTTGAAGGAAGGGTGGAGATATTGCAGTTTGGAGGGCCATCTGAAGTGTCAGCATGCTTCTGACTAGACAGTAAATGTGCTTCCTCTTTTTCTCCAGTATTAAAATTTATTTATTTTTCTTATTTTAAATACTACAGTGAACATCTTTTGTCTTATGGAACCCAACTTCAGTGTCTGTCACTAAGTCAATTTTTGTCTCGCCCCATGAAGCAAAATCACAACTTTACTACTTCAGCTGCTACAAAGTTCATTTACACAACTGATCTGTCAATTAGCTCACCACTCACAGGTGATATCTGCTGCTAACACAGTTTAACGTCAGCTCCTCACACAGCAGGATGTACCCAAACTGTATTTTATGCCTTCATACTGAAGATTCACATCTGACTTACCTTTGTCCTTCCTTCCAAAATGTGTGTGTATATGAGAACTAAAGGTTTTAGTACCACTTACAACTACAGCCTCTCCTCACTTAGCAATGTACTCGTGTACTGACAATTCAGACTTATAAAATGGCTCTCTGACCAGTGTGTATACCTCAATAATGTATATTAGAGCTGCATTAACATTTAAAAATACACAAGAAATGTTATAAATGGTGCAAAGGTGACATTAAAACAATATCAAAGATGAATGATACAAACCTACTACCATTATAGTATGCTCCTTCCTTAGTGATGAATTTGTTTGCCGACATTGTCTTAGGAATGGAACTCAGTCATTAAGTGAGGAGAGGCTGTACTGTATTCTAAAATTACAATGTTAATATTCTCGATGTTTCCTTACAAGTGAGCACAGTTTTCAACATAAGTTACCTTGACCTCCATGAATATCCAAATTTATCATATCCAAGTGGTGCCTGAAGGTTAGCAAGCTGTTGGCACCAACCTATGCGTGTGTGAGAACCTTCTGGCTGCTCTTCTATGGTACACTCCCAGTACCATACTCCACGACTCACACCTGTTATAAATACTGCATTAAATATTCTCTTATTCCTGACTATCTGTATATAAGGAGGGCTGGATCATTAAGCTATTAAAGAAAATTGGAAGTGTTTACCATTAATGCAGTTTTAATGATATAAGACATTATAAAATGAAGATCTCCGTTATAAAACAATCCTAAGCATACACTGACATTAAACTTTCATGCTGATAAATCATTCAGTTAAGTAAAGAATGCAAAGCATGATAAGAATGTTATAATGATGTTTGTTTATAGTATTTTTAATACCAAAAGGTCAAAAGGTACACAAACCATTTACACTTCAATAGCATTAAGGTGATTTAAATAAGGTATTCCACCTGTCTTATCTCAGCATATCTCATGATATAAATAATGTTAAAAAATCTTAAAACAAACAAAAAAAAAAAATCCCCTTACTATTTCTTTTGTATTTTCTCCTCCTTTCCCCCTTGCTTTCCTTTAACAAGGATGCTCTGATCTCGGCAAAGGGCTCTTGATCTAAAAAACACTGCATCTACCCTACCTTTCCTTGCATCAGGTGAACCACCAAATTCATGGGCTTCCTAATGATATACATATTTCAGTTAACCAATGTTTTTATTGAAGGGCAACTCAAATAGCTTTGACTGTCCTTGAATTTTTACAGTGCCTTTTTTTGCTTTGCATTAGCAAATAAGTATATGAAAATGAACCATATTATTTCATTCAGAATGTGCTTAATGCATTTTCCATGTGAAACTTTCTCTTTCTTTACAGTCATTCAGGAAAATAGTTGGTTAATTATGAATACTTTCTAAAGAAGAGATGTGACACCAATGATGGTATTTTTCAAAACTCTTGTACTCTATTTGAGACTCTTTTAATATCCTCATACTGCCTTCCAAAGCAGGTAACTGCATTTTATATTATTTTTGTTTTGAGGTCTAGTGTTTTAATATGAAAACAGAATTTGTTACCAATGAACATCATGTTTCTTCTGCTAACCAATGGAAAACTTTGTCAGTACAGTACAGCATCAGATTGTTTTTGTTTTCTTTCTTAATGGTGCAACTTACATTTACAAGGAAAAAGAGCAGTGGCCATTTAATACTGTATGGTTACCTTATTTGTTGCCAATGCAACAGGAAAAGCAGCTTCATTAAGAGGAAAGAGTAAAAAGTTCTGCACAGTATCATGAATAGGAAGCAGAACCAGTAGTAGTAACAACAGCACACAGCAGCAGATGGAACAATGAAATAAGTTTCAAGAGCCTGACATATAAACAGTTAAGAACTTTTATTTAACAGTTCTTAGAAGCATTATTTAGGGGAGTATTCTTCCACACTAATGTTGTCTTTGGTTACATTCACATTAGCTCCACTTCAAAACTTGCTACATTTTCTACACTAGTAAATCACTCTTTTATTGAATACTACTCATCTTCAACGTTGCCAGTAGTATATGCATGCAGAGGTAAGCCTCCTTATGACACAGGAGAAGCAAATTATCTTCTGATAAAATGGTACCTCTGATGTGACTATGAATTCCTACCAACTTACCATGAGTGGCTCTGATGAGACAATAACCTTTGTCTCCCGTCACAGCCAGACGATCATCAGCTGTACGAAGTTGTGGAGCACGGTCATGCAGAGCAAGGAGCACAGCCCCAGGACTGAGAGCACGATAGAGCCATCCAGGAATTGGTTTACCTGCCCAATCATTACTGTCATCAAACTCTTGTCTGAAAAGAGAGAGAATAAAGCTAAGAATTAAAATGCACAGAGGTTACTTCGGATGAGGAAACTCTTAGAAATACTGTACATCTGATAAGATATGATCTCAAAGCAAAAACAAACAAATTTAATTGCAGGAAAAAAAAGGCAAGATATACAGTACATGATGAGAAATGAAATATACAATGGAAGATTGGAGGAAAAAGGGGGCAGAGTATGTACAAAGTGAACGTGTAGATTTGAGTTACAACAGTAAAACGGCAGGGAGGTAACCATTGGTATTTCACGTGCTGTTGGAGTGTGAGCAAGACAATATCTATGGAGGAATTTATGAAAAGAAAATTTAAGAGAGAAGTACATTACCTACACTTTGAAATCTTTAGGTTACCCCACCTAGGTGATGTATTAAAAAAAGCAATTTACAGTTTTGCTTGAGAAAAAAAACATTACCTGAAAGGGGCATGAGGATCAGGCTCAGCAAGAATATATCTGTAACCATCTTTATTAAAAGGATGATCTACTGGATAACCATGTAGTTTAGGAGCTGGCATGTCTCCTCGAGCCTTTTTATTGCCAGCAGTGGTCTCTGGCATTTTTCGCTTTGCTCCTCGACCCTTTCCTGACTGCTGTTGCTGAGCTGTGTAAAAGGATATGTTTTCAAGAACATAACTGTAAATATTTTATAAAATATTATATGAGTATATTAATGTACCAACTAAAAGTAACTGAGATTTATAGGTATAAAGGCAAGATATTTGCAAAATATAAAAGACAACAGCATAATTCAAAATGTATTAAATCTTTCCATGCTCATCACTGTTGGACTCTTTAGTTGAAACTCATTATCAACAATAATTTTAATACTGATGTTACCGGGAGGCCTGGTCATGGACCGGGCCACGGGGGAGTTGATCCCCGGAATGACCTCCAGGTAACCATCAGTACCATATATTAGGTAAAAAAAAAAAAAAAGTACTTTTTAAGACTCAACAACATGCAGCTATATTACTCAATTAAAATATTCCTAAGGTTTACTGTACTCCCAAAAAAAAGTGCAGTTGCTCAACAAATAAGCAATACATTGTGTGTACCAGGAACATGCTAACGTGCAAACAAAACTTTCTCATGATCTTTTCGGTGCCTTACCAACTAATGCTACCATATGTAATTTAATAATTATTCTACAAAAATACCTTTAATACTAGTTTTCAGAAATCTTTAAAATTACCTTTTGCAAAGAAAAATGTTTCATTTATTGGGACTAGATATTATTTGTATCTAGAAGAACAACTAATACTTGATCATTATGGCCAAGTTTAGCTCTGTTAATAACAAATGGGTATTTTCAGTATGGATTTAGGATTGGCTGCTGCCTACCCTCCCTCCCTACCCAAAAATGATAAAACTTCCCAAAACTTGCAGATACCATTTTTTTTCTTTGAGAAACCAGTGTATTAACTTTTTAGACCATAAATTTTGCACCAAGAAAGGATTACATTCTGCAGCCCACTGTATGGTTGGCCATCTTCAAAAGTGACTTTTTTTTTTTTTTTTTTTTTTTTTTTTTAGAGAAGGATGCTATTTCATCTTCTGGAATATTATGAATACTCTTGTGTAAAGGCACATAACCTGCCTGACTTACTTCTGTATGTGCCCTTTTGTTACTAGCCAGGCTTCAGCAATTAAATCAAATTTAGAGAAACTTGTACTGCACTGTACTACAATGCCAAACAGTATTCAGATATAATGTATATGGGGGAAATGCTGAAAATGTTTTTCAGGTACATTAGGCCAAAAGTAGAATACATAGCTCTGGTGTGGAGTTCACACCCCCAAAAAAACTGAAAACAAAATAGAAAAATGTCCAAGGACAAATAACAATGAAACTGAAAAAATAAAAATGCCTCAGTGACTGATAGGCTGAAAAGAGCAGACATGATAACCATATGTAAGGTTAAAAACAAATATGAAACAATAGATAAAGGCTTCTCAGTACAGTACAATTAACAAGAAGAAGAAGCCACAATTGTAAAGCAAAGTACTTCCATAAGATACTAGAGTATTATGATTTTTTCAGTGGTCAAAAAATGTAGAGGGATACAAGAGGTAGAAATATTTGCATAAAACCACTAGAAATTAAGAAAATAGATTACAAAATGAAGATATGACACAGGTTCCTGTAGCTACAAACAGGTAATCAAAAGTACTGTTAGTAATCACCAATAGCCCACTTGCAGGGAACATGTTATATCATTCCAGGCCTTTTTCTGTATGCCTTGTAAATAACTTTCAGCATTTGCCTGAGCACGAGTGCTCATTGATTAACATTTATGCCACTTACATGTAGAGTAAGACCTTGATTTAATGGACTAATAGATGGAAAATGGTGACCAGAAATGGTAATTGTGGTGGCTAGAAATGAGACTGTTTTGCTGTGATCCTGACAATAGTGGACAATTCTGCAACCAATAGACTGTTTCCAAATCAACTGACCCAAAGGATTTTGTCCTGCATTTCCAGTCTTTAAATCAGGAGGTTTACTTAACAAATATGTGAGTACTCCAATTGAACTGGTGTAGTCAAAACATCTTTTCTTTGATTCTTTAACCCCAGCCATGCATTTCTCTTCTATGCAAACAAAATTGTCTTGCAATATCTAAGATAATTCTGTTGCACTGCCATTATATGCTATATATATTTGCTCTAAGTAAAATCATAGTCTTCAGCCAAACTGGCAGTCTTCTAAATAATTGTAAGAAGCAATATTATCTGCAAGTGCCCCTATGCCAACTGATATAATCTAACAAACATGGTAGTGCTTCTTAAACCTGAGTAGCCAGTTGTGTACAGTGTCAGTTGCTCTTCAGTGCATTGTAAAATTAGCTTTTTTTTTTACTGAACTCCCCTAGAAAGAGGCACACATTTACTGCATCAGTGCAAAAAAAAAAAAAATCATACAAAACAGCATCAAAATTTTTCCTAGTAGTTTATGGTAAGAGACAACACAGTAAGTGTCAGGGGCTCAAGACTTCAACTGCCTCCCAGCATACAAAAGGGGGATTACCAATAGACCCTTGGCTGTCTTCAAGAAGGCAGCAGACAGGCGCCTAAAGTCAGTACCTGACCAGTCGGGCTGTGATTCGTACGTCGGGTTGCGTGTGGCCAACAGTAACAGCCTGGTTGATCAGGTCCTGATCCACCATGAAGCCTGGTCACAGGTTGGACCATGGGGGCGTTGAGCCCCGAAACCCTCTCCAGGTATACTCCAGATATGGCTTTTTTTTTTTTTGTCTGCGTAGATTGCTGACAAAATCATTTTCTAAATAATACTTGAGAAGTCTGCTTTTTTTTATTGCACCTTCAAATCATGTAGTGTCATTCTTCCAATACTTTGCACTATCATAAATTAAGAATTACTTCATACCCAATTGCCTTTTCAACAATTAGTAAATCTCCCACTTCACTGACAAACTACAGTATACTATAATTTGGATCTCTCTCCCACTTCACTGACTTATACTATAAGAGACTAACACTCTTTTCATATTTACAAGTGTATTTTGAATATTCAAGTCACTAGCAAGCACAGCAGGCATTGAAATACTATCCTGAGAAGATATATCAGTCAAATACATTGCAGTCTATATAAAAATGCAATTTACCATTAAGTTACACTATCAAAAAGACTGATTGTACAAAATAAGGGGCCAAGAAGCAGGGATGGTCGACCAGAGCACCTCATTGACTACCCAGACACTAATGTGAATCATGATACTTCCTATTAAACCAGTGTTTAACCCTTTGAGGATCGGTCATTGCAGTCAGGGTTGGTCACGTACTTGTAAGCATAAATTCTAGCACCTTCAAATCTGGTGGAAGAAAGCTGGCAGGCCTATATATTAAAGAATGCGTCTGCGTGGTCAGTGTGTGCAGTATAAAAAAATCCTGAAGCACGCAGTGCATAATGAGAAAAAAAAAACTCCAACCGTGTTTTTGGTCTAAAACAGCAACTTTCGAGTGTATTTTTGAATGGTATTTATGGCTGTATTCTCGTTTTCTTGGTATCATTTGATAGAATGGAAAATATAATACAGAAATAGTGATGATTTTGATTGGTTTCATGATGAGAAGTACCTTGAAATTGGGCTCAAATTAGCGAAAATGTTCGATTTTTGCCGATGTTCAAGAGTAAACAAATCATGCCACGCATCCAATACACGTCAACTGGTGAGTCTAATATACTTTCACAAGTGTGCTGATATTATTTATACCATTTTTACAATGATGCAGTAGTATATATAACAGTCAATCTTCTACTTTTTGTGAGAATAAAAATTCAAAATGGAAATCAAAAGTAATGTAAGAGGGGCCTGGAGATGTGACTAAGGAACAAATGAAATGTTATTTTAGTGCCAGGAATGTCTGTCTTATTTATTCTGGACCCTATTTTGAAATTTGTGAGAAATTGGCCAAATTGCCAATTTCTGACCACTTTACTGGGTAGCTGAAATTGCTAAATGGGCAGTTTCTGGTACTCGATAGAATAAATGGAGTTCTAGCAAAATAGCTATTATTTTAGTTGACTGGAACATTGCAATTGGCTGAAAATAGGGCTCAAAATGGGCAAAATTGCTGATGCATAAATATCGTCAATACCGCTAACTTTGCGGAACCAAAATTCAGTAGGTTTTTCATCAAATTTCATACTTTTGGTGTCATTATGATCGACAAAAGATTCTCTCGTTTCATAAGAAAAAAATCATTTTTTTTTTCGAAAATTTTTCGACCCTGAGAACGAGTTTGGGAGAGGGCCTCTCGACCCTTAACCCTTTGAGGGTTTCAGACGTACTAGTACGGCTTACGATCCAGGGTTTTTGACGTACTAGTACGCCTAAATTCTAGTGCCCTCAAATCTAGTGGGAGAAAGCTGGTAGGCCTTCATATGAAAGAATGGGTCTATGTGGTCAGTGTGCACAGTCTAAAAAAAATCCTGCAGCACACAGTGCATAATGAGAAAAAAAAACTTTGACCATTTTTTTGTAATAAAACAGCGACTTTGCACTGTATTTTCGTATGGTATTTATTGTTGTATTCTAGTTTTCTTGGTCTCATTTTATAGAATGGAAGACATGTTTACAGAAATTGAGATGATTTTGACTGGTTTTACAATGAAAGGTACCTTGAAATTGAGCTCAAAGTAGCAAAGTGTTCGATTTTTACCAAATTTCAAAAGTAAAACAAATCGTGCCAAGCGTGCAATACACGTCAACTGGTGAACCTAATATTCTTTCACAAGTGCACCAATAATATTTATATACCATTTTTACACTAATGCAGTAGTCTGCATAACAGTAAATCTATATTTTTTGTGAGAATAAAAATTCAAAGTGGAAAGCAAAAGAATATAAGAGGGGCCATTGAGACGTGACTAATGACCAGAGGAAATGTCATTTTAGTGCCAGGAATGTCTTCTTGTTTTATTCTGGACCCTATTCGGAAATTAGCATCTTTTGAAATTTGTGTGAAATTGGCAAAATTGCTAAATTCTGACCACTGTACTGGATAGTTGAATTTCATAAATGGGTGTTTCTTGGCACCCATTCGATAGAAAAATGGAGTTCTAGTGAAATATTCATGTTTTTTTTGTCGACTAGTACAGTGGAATTGGCTGAAAATGGGGCTCAAAGTGGGCAAAATCGCCGATGCGTAAACATCGCCGAGACCGCTAACTTTGCGAGAGCATAATTCCGTAAGTTTTCCATCAAATTTCAAACTTTTGGTGTCCTTATGATCGGGAAAAGATTCTCTATCTTTTCATAAGAGAAAATAATTTTTTTTTTTTTAAATTTGGGCGACCCTGAGAACAAGTTTCGGAGAGGGCCTGTCGACCCTCAAAGGGTTAAAGGGTTAAACCAACAGAGAAATATTCTACTATACAAAGACCA